TAAAAGGAGAAATGCAGGGAAACTGCATTATCCCCAGGAGGGGGAAGAAGAAACTGAGGCACGAGAAGCTCATATAATTCCATTCCAAACTCTAATCTTCACTCCCCCCCAAGTCATTTGCATTTCTGATAGGAATTCCTAGGGGACTGGAGCAATGCCAAGAAGATGTCATTACTGGAATGAAAATGTCACTCCCTCCCCAGTGCCTCCTGCTGCAATGAGGTAGCTGGGAGGAGACACCGGCAAAGCCATCCATTCGAGTGCTCGTAGGAAGTCTGGTTGCACTTGGGGACAGGAGATCGCCGGGATCACTACAGCTCTCGGGCTGAGATGTTCTATGCTGATGCTTGCTAAAAGCTTCATGCACACTTTGCTGTCGCTGCTGCCTCTCCCCCATGTATCCATCCAGCTACATGGTGTGTTTCTGCACTTACGGCAAAAGCACCCTCCAGACTGTAGCTACTTCTGCATATTTTAGTTGTCTCATGAGAAAAAAATAATGGCTCTTAGAATAATGACATGTTTCTATGGTGTTTTCCTTCTCAGGATTTCTTCTAGCCCTACAATTACAGAGGCTTTACATTACACTGGTCCCATGGGCTCAGGAAGTGCTCCAGTTGTTGTTGCATGGCACAGGCCAGATTTTGGGTTGGTGTAAGAGAGCAAAGCTTTGCTGGAAGCAGTAGACCAAGGGGGATTTTGCTCTGATGGGATTTGACTTCAGCTATTCTGAGAAGGGCTTTGTGTTAACAGTGATAGGCAGGAAGAACCATACAAAAATTGGACTGAAATTCTGCACACACTGCCAGTTGAAGTGCAAACTGCAGTGGGAAAACTTACAGAGAAGTGCAATATCACCATGCAGAAAGCAGAGGAACTGCTGAATCTTAAATGTTTTTAGGAACTGAAGGCAAATAAACTCTCTTGGCCTCTTGTGGCACTGAATCAAGCACCATGGCTTTATTCTTCAGGCTGTAACATCAGTGACAGTGCTCACTGTTCACACACAGGGCACAGCTGCTGGCTCTCTGGATTACATTCTTTCCTTACTTCTGCTGCAATAGTGTGTTGCATCTCACCCAACATGCTGGGAAGTGTAGGTATATTCCAGAAAATGCATGAAGAACTATACAATAATCCAGAGGTGAATGCCCAGTGCTGGGAGACTTCTGAAGAAGAAAAAGAGAAGAAAGGACAAAAGGGAGGGAGGGAGGGAGGGAGGGAGGGAGGGAGGGAGGAAGGGAGGAAGGAAGGAAGG